TTATTATTATTATTATTATTATTATTATTATTATTATTATTATTATTTGTTTGGAACACAACATGTCAGATATCACAGTTGTCGAAAACCGAAGTGTACAATTTATTGATATCGTTGTACCGGGAGATGCCAGAGTTGAAGAAAAAGAACTGGAAAAAAAATCACAAAATATCATGATCTGGCCATCAAAACTACGTGATTATAGATGAAACATGTAACAGTGATACTCATTGTCATTGGGGCACGATATCATGTCCAAGAATTTTACAAAATACATCAAGAAATTGCAGCTTCCTGCAATAACACCAGCGGAACTGCAAAAAACTGTGCTACTTGGAAAATCTTACATTTTAAGAAGATACTTGGTCAATACCTAGAATGCTGGCAGCAACCCATATCAACCATCAGCTCCAATCAATGATATTTGTGATACATTTTTAAATATTCAGTTGACTGAGTTTCATATTTAATAAATCAAAGATAAATAATAATAATGATATCACTTATAATTTTAACATAAACCATCCATTGACCAATCATTAGAATTGATCACTATCTCCAGTATTCAATCATCATCTGCTTAAATGTAAAAGATAATTTTCAGGAATTATTTTGCTTTGGACTCTATAATCTTCCTTCTTAGACACATTAGTCCTTATTCTGAAATGCACAGCAATTTAAAGGACATCCCTCACCATCTTTTTAAATTCCCCAACTTAACTCTGCTGAATATATTTTGAATCGCTTCTGACAAAAAAAGTATGGTATTATAATCATTGATGAAACAGAATTCTTATTAAAAACTGAGAAGATGGTTGTCTCTTGAAGGCTGACAATTTTGTGTAAGCTGCAGCTGATTGTCATAAATAGCTCCTTCATAGAGTCATTAAATGTAGTTACTTTTATCTTTTTAATGTAATTTTTGAATGGCGATCATTTAATTTTATATAATTTTTAACATTTGCTTCTTCATTTACTGTTTTAATTGATCACCTGATAGCTGAAGATTATGTTATACCCTATGGATTGGAACAATAGGTTAAATAACTATACAATTATGGAAAATAGATATTTTTCTTAGATTAAAAAAAGATTCAACTCAGGCATAAAGAATCAGGACCCTGTGTTAAGGTCCAGTTAAACTGATTTATTGCTTGTGCCTATATTCAAGAATCTAGTCAACTAATAGTCGGCACTAATTTGCTGCTGCCCATATTTCCTCAAAAATAAAACCCTGTCTTATACTTTTCAGCCACCAAAAAAGGCAACAGGTCTTATTTTGGGGGGATGTCATCCACTGATTAACCTCACTTGTCTGTGTTGCCCCCGGCCTCCTTTTCTCTGTCAGAGGCCTTCAGAAACTACTTCTGCAGCTAGCAAGGCTTTCCTGAAGGCCTACACAGCCAATAACAGAGCTCCGGATCGACCCAGAGCTTTGTTATTAGCTACAGAGGCCTTCAGGAAAGCCATGCCAGTCTTGCCGGCTGCAGAAGAAATGGGCCGTGAAGGCAGGTGTTGGGGTGTGTGAGGCCTGGCTACAACTGTCCAAAGGTAAGTAGTAGGGAAACTCTACCCCCCCCATCCCCACCCTAGCTTAATTTTTACCTGTGCACTCTGGAGTGGGTAGAATCTTAATTAGGGCTTATTTTGGGGATAGGGCTTATATTGGGTACACATGTAAAAATCAAGCTAGGACTTATTTTTGGGGTAGGTCGTATTTTCTGGAAAACAGGATTGATAAAAGTTAACAGAATTCAAGAGAGGTTAGACTTAGACTGCTTAGAACATAAGGACTCTAGGCTAATTACTCTCTTGACTCCATCCTCAGGCTCTGCCTGTTCTTCTCTGATAGTTCACTATTTTCTACCTGTAACGTTTGGCGTTGATAAGCCAGTGCACGAAATCTCTGGCTTTCATGTTGTCCAAATGTTCAGTAAAATCGCTGGTAAAGGTCCCTTCAGAATGGCGTTTGATGTCAGAAGTAAAGCTGTGGGCGCTTTTCATGTTGTAAGACTGCTGCCATCTGAGTGAAAGCCAAGGACAAGTTAGTTAGATGGATAGAATAACTTTATTGTCACTTTGAATGTACACTAATTGGCATACATAAAATGAAATTTCATTGCATTCAGCTCTCAAAGGTCACCACTTCCAAAATACACTACATAAACATGACAAAATAAATAAGTAAATAAATACACAATTATGCATATACCCACATGTTTTATATGACACAAAGAAACAACACAGTATTCTCCCCCAAAGAAGAGTATTTTCATCGCTTGCAGTGATACACCAATGACACATTTCCAATACTAGCTATATATGCTACCATAATATAAGCTATACTATACTAATACTAGCCAAGCAATGTATAATCCAGGATGTGTTTCAATGGTTAGATGGCCTAGAGACATTGGTATTTAAACATAGATCTTTGTAACATTTACATTTTATTATGTTTTACTAATCTAGGTAAAATGTAAATATATATTGCTATTTCCATGTTTGATATGCCATATGCTTAATAATAACTAGCCAAAGTTCAAGAAGCTAGTTATTTAAGAAAAATCCAGCTTGCGTGGCTGGAAAATTCTGGAAGTTGGCAATCCACAGATCTTAAAGTTGCCAAGGTTGACCACTCCTGTTCTAGATTCAAAGCATCTGACCATAATTTTTTTGTACCTAGAATAAAACCATGAAGTAATATGATATAACTGATGACCTAGCAATGACACTGATATAGTTTGAGATTGTCTATGGATGTCATAGCATCTGCCGTACTCTTGATTGGGCCCACCAAGGACGTTCGCAAGGTGGATTTGTGTCAAAAGATAATGATGGTGGTTGTGTTAGCATGATCAAAGCCCTGCCTCTTTTTTATGCGTGCTAATTTTTTATATAAACCCTTTGAAATGCCATGGTGCATTTCCAGTAACCACCTCACTGACCACCAACAGCAAAATAATACCTTTTGAAAATGAAAAAAAAAAAAGGCTGAATTCTGCATGTTGGCCAGTTCTAATATCTAGATATCATGTCTCTGAATTCCTGGTTATTTCATTGCCATGAATTTTCCAGTTTTAGTTCTGAATTTTGGAATTGCATTTTCTTGGACATCAATGGTATGCAGCTGGGGGATTTTTCTAGACTGGCAGCTCCTCCTCAAGGTGGATATGGCAGCAATGGCCAAAAGAGTCGCAACTCGGATTCATTTGGTATGCTAATTGCACCTCTTCCTGAACCAGGAATGCCTCATCAATGTTACCCAGTGGAGTCTTGCAGTATGCCTTACACGGGGCTGCCCTTGAAAACCACTCAAAAACTGCACTTGGTCCAGAATGTGGGGATGCAAATAGTGATGGGTATGCCTCATGTAATACATCTGTTTTGGGGATACATGGAACCCAAGAAGTGTGCCTTCTGGAGCTCTGTGTCTTCACCCTGGAATAGTATTCCCCAGAAGTTTGGATACCCCTAAACTTTAAATGGGCATTTTTCACCAGGGTCTGGTCTGGGTTAGGTAGAGCATATGTCCCCTAAGTGGTATTGATGGATTAGTGTATGCTTTTTCCTTGCATTAAGTGTTGTTATTAACATACATCACCTAAAGTTATTATCAACTGAGTGGCCTTGTAAATCTGGTAAATTAAACAAACACTTTAATTTAGCATTTTTACTTAGGTTTTTTTTTTAATGTTTTCTTCCACCAAGTTATCCTATGATCCAACCCTTCTCCAAAAGAGTCATTAGTCTGTGACAAGACCAAAGCTATCTGAGATAGCATTATTTTGGATGTGTTGATTCTGAATGCTCAGAGTTACAGTCAACAAATGTGGAATGGACCAGTCAATTATTAATAGATATTTAATAAATTGGTTTTCAAAAATGGATAGTTATTAGCTATCTTCTATTAGCTCTTCTATCTTCCTTTTAAAAACTTTCTACATTTAATAACTCAACTGAAACAATAAGACTAATCAAACAATTATATCACATCAATTCAATCAGGTTACAATATACTGATGAAAACAATACCATACAATATATACTGTATTTAAATAAAATGAGTGATAAGGAACAAGGCAATAATAGAATTAGTTATAAAAAAGAGAATGAAGCTAAACTCTACTGTTGGTTACCAAGGAGGATTATTAACATGTCCCTAAAAGTATACTTTTATTTATACTTTTCCAGTTGTCATACTGCAACACCTCTGCAACACCTCATCCTTCTACATCGGACCTCCTTTTATTCAATTGTTAAAATATTGTTAACATTTATTTACCTCATGTTTTATTGATCACAAAGCAAAACTTGTAAATCTTATTTCTACTAGTTTACAAAAACTGATTCACCATGCATGTATGGACTGCAAAAGCCTTGCCTTCCTTGAAGCCTCATGGCACATATCTAGGAGGGTTTGAGGCTAATTCTACATCCTGGAGTGGTTCTCCAACATAAAGTCACTGGAAAAACCAACTGATATCTTTGTAAGAGGAACCTGTTGTGAGAATTTTGTTTGTACTTGCTACCCGTCCAACCTTTCCCTTCTATTCTGATCATAATTTCAGAATATTTACAGATTAACAGCGTTCTTGATAATCTCTTTCATTTTCACATTTTCCTTCACTTCTTGTTTCATCCTATCTACTGCAGAACATCTCAGCAATCTTCCTTCCACCCCCTTCTCTGCCTGTGTGCTTTCCTCAGATTTTCTTTTTCCCAAATTTTAGTTTGGAGAAGATTGTGGTAGAAAATTGGCAAACCCAGAGACTTCTGCAATTCTTCCCTCTTCCCATACACCCCCAACTCAAATTGAATATATTAAAAGTTTCTTCATACTTAGACTCATCCGTTGAATCCTTCAGGATCATTTGCCAACTAGCCGGGAGTAAAGCTGCAATGATCATTCCACAAATACAAATCCACCATGTTTTCTTCATTAGATCTTCTGAAGCAAGGCAAACAAAGGCATGAAAAAGAATTGGACCACATTTTTAACTTCCCTACCAGTTTAGGACTGGATGCTCATAAGAAAACACACCGTTCAAGCTTTTCTTTACCCCAGAGATGAGTTGAAATTGTTCTTACAGACATTGAGTTTAACAATCCCAGTTTTGTATATTCAAGTTTTTCAAGGCTATGCAGATGAATCCAAAATAGATAAACTAAAGTAGTTGGTCAGAAGTTGATTCATGTTTGCATTATTTAAAGGCATTGGCAATTTCTAATACAGGAAGAATAATAATAAAGTTTATCCTCCACAAAGAATGAAGGTGATCAGATAAGATAGGAATCATTACACAGTATACTCTCATCTCCCTTTTGGTCTTCTTTTACTATTTTTTTTTTTTAAATCTGTGACTGCAGAAGATACTGAAGCAGGTTTGATCAGATTGTCTTCTAAACACAGAGAATTATTTGAATTATGTTAAAAACTTGTGAACAAAAACTGGGTTTCCCACCCCCAAGTGTTTCCATTTAATATGATCAATCAATTTGGAAAAGAGGCACCTAACCTGAACAAGCTGGTTATCTGTATATCATGAGAAATGTCTTCCTCATATCACTTCCAGTATATGAAATAGATAGAACATCTCTCTGGCTCCTTCTTCACAAATCTGCCTTTATACAGAATTAAGCAATGCAAAGGATTTCTAGTTAAACTGACAAATACAATGACCTCTCAGAAATAGCTCATGTTTGTTATGTTATTCCTTTAACAGAACAGCTTTCCCATCTAAGACAACCTTAATGGACAACAAACAACAGTCTTGCATTCTTGACATATAGTAGGAAACTAGAATATAGTGGGAATAAGAGAGTCTCCTCCAATTGTGTTAGAAAAATAGAGGTTTTTTTGACCATGATAATGCATACTTTCATGCTACAGGTATTATGGAATGGGATGTGATGAGGCATATAGTGCTTACCTTCTAAAAAATGAAAGCTTCTCCTTAAATCCTGTGTTCCTTTTCTTTGTATGAGCTGTTTTGTGTCTTAATGCTATTCTTACTGGTGCTTTTAAGCTTGTTAGTAGATTGTTAAGGGATGACAGGTAGGGTCATTAGCGTTCCAGGTTTTAGTTGGATAGGTCACTTATGAATCATTACCGGATCTTTCCTTTCTTTCTTCTTTTTCTAGAAAGCTTTATTAGTGGTTCCACAGAGAAGATGAAGGCAACCAACTCCTTCAAAATGTCTTGAGCAATTGAGAGAGAAAGAACACCATGTGTTTTTTGTATTGTCCTACTAAAAAGTGTTCAGATATTAACTGAGCATAGAAAAATATAGGCTTGTCTTACTCCATCTTGCATATATTTGGGATTTGCATTAAAAAGCAAGGGTTAGACAGTTGGGACCCACTATTTGTTAATATTCACCCTGTGCTCTATTAAACTATATACAAGTAGTCATCAACTTACAACAATTCATTTAGTGACCATTCAAACCTTACAACAGCACTGAAAAATGTGACTTATGACCATTTTTCATAGTTATGACCTTTGCAGCATCCCCGTGGCCAGGTGATCAAAATTCAGATGCTTGGCCACTAGTTCCTATTTATGGCCATTGCTGTGTCCCAAGGTCATAAGATCCCCTTTTGTGACTTTCTGACAAGCAAAGTCAATGGGGGAGCCAGATTCACTTAACAACCGTGTTACTAACTTAACAACTGCAGTGATTCACTTAACAGACGTGGCAAGAAAAATCATAAAATGGCGCAAAACTCACTTAAGAAATATCTCACTTCACAACAGAAATTTGGGGCTCAATTGTGGTCGTAAGTGGAGGACTACCTGTACTCCTGTGAACAATAAAAGGGGTCATTCTGGCTACATTTGATGAAATAACTTCTAAACCCTAAAATCTTATGTTGTAAAAACCAGGCTGACAGTGTTACAATAACATGAACAATATTTTCATCAGAATTATTTTCCATCCGTATATCCTTTATATTGTCCCGAAAAAAGGACCAATTGATCTTCCAGTTAATGAGGCATAGGTTCATCTCTTACTTCAAATGGAGCTCTAGATCCATCTTTTTTTTTTTTTTTTGGCCCTAAATATCTTTATGCAACAACAGAAAAAGGGCCAAGATTTTGAACAAAAATATTCTGAAATCTGCTGAGGTTGTTGAAGTCTTGTGAGTAACATTTCAGCAAAGTTGGCCCAAATCTTGTAGACTTTCATGAGGAAGACTGTGGAATTGTTAAGATTTTGTGTAAGGACACTAAAATAGTCTGGGCTTTATCTGAAAGTGTCCTGTAGGATCATGCTCTGAAAATTTGGTTGAAAGATGCAGGAAGAAACATAATTAAAACTTGAATGGCAATTCTTCCTTTGCTTCTTATCCAGTTGCGATTGGACATTGCCACGTGGATTTTGTAGTGGTGCGATGGCCTAGAAGTGGAGCTCTCACCTCACAATCAGGAGGCTGACAGTTCGATCCTAGGCAGAGGCAGATATTTATCTCTCTGGGGACGTTGAGAATATATCAGCTGAATATAACTCCACATTGGCAACAGGAAGGGCATCCGGCCATTAAAACACTCAACTTCATTCATTTGCCCAGACTCCACTCCACAAAGGATTATGGGGTTGTTAAAAGAAGATGATGATTGCCAGGTGGATTTTACTAGTTCTGGTCTTATAACAGGGATAACTCTTCTTCTCATTCCGAATGCAATTGATATTCATAGTCTGTACTTTCCACTTCAGACTTTTCCCCACCACTGAGTTTGTTTTAATATCCTTTAAAAAGTATCTGTTGGAGAACAAGAGACTCCTACCAATTAGATATCTTCTAGGCTACAAGTAAACTGACCTTCACAAATACAGATTCATTAGTGCAACCTTTGATGAACTGAACTTCCTATTAAGCTAATATTTTAGTGTATCACTGGGTGCCTCTGCTATGATTGCTGTCAAATTAAGTTGCAGTGTAACAACTTGGTTCTTGCAGATGTTAGGCATAATAGGTATTAGAAGCTAATAAGTAATTCTGGACAGACTATACTTTTTCAAAGTAGAAATATGGAGAAGAGAATATTAGAAGTTAATAAGTCATTCTGCACTGACTATACTACTCTCTTTTTTTTGCAAAATAAAAATATAGAGAAGAAACAGGGAAGTAATGCACTACCCCCAACTAGGGATGGGTGAATCAATAAACATTTGACTGTCCATGTAAATAAGGACTATTCATCTTATTCCCCCAGCCCTGCTGCCATGCAAAAGCAGAATAAAATGGGTCTCTTCTGGAAGATGTTTTTCAATTATTTTTTGCAAGGTCTTCAGAATTGTTCCCATACCACTCCAGTTCTAAATTAATGCTGAATTTTGTTTTTATTATTTGTATTAATTATATTTTCACTTGGACCTTGGACATGTATTTCATTTTAGCTGTCAAAGTTAATGATTGAAGTGGTCTCAAACAGGGGTCCCCAACCTGTGGGCTGTGACCCACTACCGGGCCACAGCCAGGGGTGGGATTCTACAGGTTCGCATCTATTCGCTAGAACCGGTTGGTAATATTCTAAGCAGTTTGGAGAACCGATTAGAAGAAATTACTGGCCTAATCCTGTAAGGAAGGCAGGAAGGAAACATTCTGGGGTTGCTTACAGAAACTGCCTCTCCGTTAATCCTTATTACATTCTTGGCAGGATTGAACTTCCTGTCTCAGGAACGTCTCTGGAGTTTTTCCCCCTCCTTTGCTGGTATTTTGCTTGTGTGGAGTGACCATTCAAAGTTACAATGGTACTGAAAAAAGTGACTTATGACCATTTTTCACACTTACGACTGTTGCAGCATCCCCACAGTCATGAGAGGCCAGGCGAGGAGATGCGTGCCTTGATGTGAGTGATATTGAGTTGGCCATGCCCAGCCAGTCACATGACCACCAAGCCATGTCCACCCAGTCACATGACCACCAAGCCACGCCCATCACCTAAGCCACGCCCACAGAACCGGTTGTTAAAATTTTTGAATCCCACCCCTGGCCACAGCCAATTGGCAACCGGGCCACATGAGTAGCCGGCTGGTACACCCATGTGCACGCATGCACAGCCCCACTTGCAAGAGAGTCACAGGCACTTGGGGCCTCACTCGCCTGAGCATCGCAGGCACTCTCAGGTCCCACTTGCAGAACAACAGGTGCTTGCTTGCGTGCAAGCATGTGTGTGCACCTACACCTGCTCCTCTCACAAAACCATCCCCTCTTCCCCTTTCCCCGCCGCTTTGGGCCACCAACCCAAAAAGGTTGGGGAACTCTGGTCTAAAAACCAATAAATTAATTAAAAGAAATACAATAACATCCCAAACTGGTGCTTTAAAAATATATATTCAAATGTTCATGTCTGAGTGGTGTGGTGGCCTAGAGGTGGAGCTTTCGCCTCACAATCAGAAGGCTGTGGGTTCGATCCTAGGTAGAGGCAGATATTTCCCTTTGGGCACAATGAGAATATATCTGCTGAATAAAATTCTGCATTGGCGACAGGAAGGGCATCTGGCCAGTAAACAGCTCCATTCAGTTGCCCAGACTCCGCCACGCAAGGAATTATGGGGTCATTAAAAGGAGATGATGATGATGAAAAGTCTATGTCTGTTTTTGTCTGCAGGATCTCCATCCCTGCAGAGTCTTTTTATATTCTGCTCAATTAAAAAGTCCAAATCCTCTGACCAAATCTGCACCAAATAGAATCTAGGGCAGGATTCCTTCTCTTTATCCCCATGGATTTTAAAATTTATTCTTTTATTGCTTTCAAAATAATGACGGAGAAACAGGAAAAAAAATCCCACTCACAAAGATATAATACAAACATTGTCAAAGGAGAAAAAAACACCACAGTGTTCTTTAAGTGAAAAAATGCAACAAGAGAAAAATGATACACATTTTAGCTGTAAAATAGTTACAATACTGTTATCTAATACAATTCTTATTCAAGCATGTGATGTATATATTTTGTTAACCTCTTGTATTTTCTATTAGTGAGTCCCATATTTCATTATATTGGTCCATACAAAGTCTACATCTATAGGCAATATGCTCATGGGTGGCATGCAATCTGATCTTCAGTCCACTGAGTGAAAGGTGCCGTTGGTTAAGGTCCAGTTCAGTCTTTCTGCCCATATTGATTGCCTCTCTATTTTGCATGCAGGACTCTTGATTTCAGTTCCAGACCTTCCCAGTCTTAAGAGGCTGCAGGTGGTGGAGAACCATATACTATGCTGAAGAATGTGGTCAAGATTTCTTAGCTTGGAAACTCCTCTAGGTACAGGAACTTCAATTCCCATATTTCTTACCAGGGATCTTCAAACTTGATAGCTTTAAGAGTTGTGGACTTCAACTCCCAGAATTCCTCCTCCACTCACGTTAGCTCAGGAATTCTGGGAGTTGAAGTCCACAAGTCTTAAACTTGCCGAGTTTGAAGACCCTTGTCTTAAACAATATAACTAAGGCTGAGAATGTTGAGAACTGAAATTCATTCATCTGGACAATGCCAAGGTTGAGGAAGGCTGCCTGGGAGAGTTGCTACAATAGATCAATCAACTAGTTTTGGTATGACGTTAGAAATAAAAGGAAAGGAATCTAGATTAGGGAGGGACAAACTATAGGGATAACGGTGTTGCAAAATCATTAAACAAATTTAAAAGCCCAGGATCCTTTTGAAAGTGTTGTGTTGTGTTTCTGTAGAAAACTATGCCACTTGAATACAACATACATACATAAGAAAAATGGCAACATGTGCTATAGTCATGTGTTCAACTTGAACCCACTTCCTACATTGCAGCTTTGCATCCTTCCTTTCTGAACCTGTTAAGGGGTTCTTTTATGTATGCCCAGGTTAGTGGGCTCCAAAACTCCAAGACAGCCAACACAGTTTCACCTGGCATCTCAGCAACACACCCACAAGTACCCACAGGCTAGTACTCACAACTTACTTGATCCCTCTTCCCTTATTCTACTTCTGTTCTTCCACATCTTCTCTTTGTGAGCTCTATTTCTGGAGAATAGTAAAATAAAGTAAATTAGTCTTAGGCTACTTCCAGTTCCCAAACAAATACAAACCACCTTTCCTCTCACCCCCCCCTCCAATTCCTCCTCAGGTTTATAGACACCAGTGGCTGGGTTGGCTAGGAAGAGGTCTTAAAGGGTCAGGGCACCAGCAGCCCAAGTGCTGGCCATTTTGGAGGAACTATATCCTCTCACCCTCCCATTCCATTTGATGCCCTTTAGAATAAGGGATACAATAAGGGGGGAAAATTAAATGTACATTTACGCTGAGAAGGAGCCTGTATCAGTAATCCAAAGGTTCAAATAAATAATCAGTGTTTCTCAGATAAAACAAGCAACCCAACTGTTTCTTTGTATAACAGGTAGTTCTCAACTTATGACCACCATTGGGACTATAATTTCTGTTGCTAAGCAAGGTAGCTATTAATGTGCCCATTTTTTTTGCCACAGTTGTTAAGCAAATCACTGCAGTTGTTCGGTGAATCTTCGAGTCATTAAGTGAATCTGATTTCCCCCCATTTACTTTGCTTGTCAGAAGCTTTCTGAGAAGGTAGAAAGTTAGCACCCACCCCTCTCCTAGAAGAATGAAATATTTTGAGAAACGTTAAAAAAGGCAGAATATTATATTTCCCTGGATGAAAATGGAGAAACATGCTCTTGGAAAGCAAGCCGCTATTTTCCTTAATAGCTCACAGCAGATGTCAGCACTCAAGAGATAAAGAGATAGATAGCTCTATTCATAAGCAAATGCCCTCACCCAAGATCCAACAAAGGTAGGATTAGCCCTGAGTCACAATAGGAATTGCCCCAACCCCCTTCATTGCATCATCTCAGTTGCACCCACCCCCAGCAGTTCAAACTTCAACCAAACTTAGCTCAGACAAACTCCTAGGATGTGTATGTGGCCCCATGGGAGTCTGACAATAGAATATATGTTCTTGCACAGGAACAGGAAGCTCAAGTTCAAAGCCCAAGAGAAGGTACAAATACCCCCCACGCTCAACTCCATGTGGTCAGCTGCCCAGAACCACCCATGTGCATCAATAAATGGACCCTCTTTCCAATCAGCCTCCAGCCTCCATTTTGTCTCTAGTGCCTTTCTCCCAGCTTGGAACTGAACTAGATGGATATTTCTTCCAACAGTAGCAAATGGTGATTGCATGATTCCAGGATACTGCAACTGTTGCAAATACATGCTGGTTGCCAAATGCCCAAATTTTGATTATGTGACTCTGTGGATGCTGTCATGCTTGAAAGCATGGGAGTCACTTTTTTTTCAATGCCACTAACTTCAAACGGTTGCTAAATGAATTAAGACCTGTATATTAGTAGAAAAACTGGCAGCCTTTCTTTCCCCACAAGGTGTCTCTCCAATCCAACAGTAGACTAGACCTCTGAAGCTAGATAGAAAAAGTAAACATAAATATAAAAGAGTCTGTACTTTAGCTAAAGCCATTTTTTCATTTGATAAATTCCTGCTGGGTGGTTATGACGCAGATTGGACTTACTGGGGTGTAAAAAAAAATAATTTACTTTTTATTCTGTGTTTGCTTGTTAGATTGATTGCCTTTCAAATATTCTATCCAGCCAGCCTTTTTGTGTGTGTGCTTTTTCTCCATCTCTCCATTATTGTTCATTGGTGGAAAGGCAGGATCAACATTCCAGCAAGACACAAAGGCAGCCTGGGAAATTTTAGTTACACACAATTGTGGGCCATGAGTTGTCTATACACACTCACTTATTTATTTAATATTGTTTTAACAGGACATTGAACACAAAAAGAATCTACCTTAAAAAAAAACTCCCAGAAAAGTACAAAAAGTGTACTTTGATAATATAAAAAGACAAGCATAATCTTAAAGAGAAATACAAATGCTCTACTTTTGTAGAACATGCTTAGATAGCTGGATGAAATCTATTAGGAAATGCTTAATTAGATAACCCAACAAGAAAGGGAAGGGGCTGCTGGCTGGATTCTGGAATTCCTCCCAACTTAAGAACATCTGTCACATCACCAGGAAGGGGGACTGAGAATGGAGGATATGGCATCATTCTGACTCACAGATGTCCTACCATGTAATGTTGGAAGCACATTAGGGAGAAGAGCCACAACCACCGGAAGTATTGGAGAAGAGGCAGCTTAGCCCAGAAAACAAATGCGGATGTGGCAAACATCTCAGAAGAGACTCTTCATATTTTCTTTGGCTGTAAAGGCATGGTGGGGGAGAGAAGTATTTTCAGACTTGCAAGACCCTGTTAATATAACCATACAATAAAGTAAAATTATCCAGGTAGACTACTTAGCTAAGCTGATATCAAGCCCCTCATATGATTCATTGGGTGATACTTGTTTTTTTTCTGGATTTGTTGTTTCTTCGCAACCTTTAGTCTGATCCAGTCCATTTTCAAGCTTGATCTTTCTTTGGCCAGTGTCTCCTCACACACCCAATCTGGTCCTATTCTGTTTCCCAGGAGTGCTACTGACAGATAAGCAGATAGAAAATCAGACACTTGAACCCCTATAAACTAATGGCTTTTTAGCATACTGTTGAGCTGGAAAGAATAAAAACAAGAGACTTGAAGAATAAAATAACCTTTAATTAAAAGCTTCTTCAAGCCTTTTTTTGCTGCGTTCATTTTTCAGCCAAAGCTATTTCCAATATTTTTCAATACTGTTCAGCCAAATTAAAGCTACTTCTGCTGCAGCAAATCTGGTAACTAACAAAAAATGTGGATTAGGTTTTTGTGTTTGTCAGGTTATCATTCCTGAAGAAAAAAGACATTGAAGCTATAGACTAATTTATTATAAATGTAACCCCCCCCCTCAAATTACAGTTTGCTCTCTGAGAGTTTTGGGATCTATACAAACAGAGATTGGATTGCATCTGAAATTGCAATCTACAAATTGCCTGTAAGAGATTGTTTCTGTCTTCAATGAATGGATTGTTTCCTTAATTACGGTAATGGCACCAGCCATTCAGGACTATTTTTCTGATGTTTGCCCCTTGGAGAGGGAAGGGCAGTAACCAATCCGGTCATGTCCTTTTCTATGGTAACCAATCATGTCAGGTAGCACTTTCCTGATCTTACATGATAGAATAATCAATAGCTTCAGTGAAGCTTGAGGTTATTCGGCACTTATTAACTGGGAGTGGGAGACTGGCTGGAGGAAGATTTGTGGGTGGGAATGCCTAAGGCCATAAAATAAGCAACTGGTTGCGATGGAGGCAGGAGAATAGGCAACCAATGGAGGATATAAGGCAGTGGTGGGATTCAAATTGTTTTACTACTGGTTCTGTGGGCGTGGCTTGGTGGGCGTGGCAGGGTAAGGATAACTGTAAAATCTCCCGTCAGAGGTGGTATTTGCTGGTTGTCCGAACTACTCAAAATTTCCACTACCAGTTCTCCAGAACTGGTCAGAACCTGCTCTGATATGAGGTATGCAAAGAAGGCAGAAACAAATGGCCTCTCTCTTGTGAAGTAGAGTGTGTTGAAGAATGAATCATGGGAAAGAATTGGATTGCTCACCTGGCTGGGATAGAAGCTAGTCCCGATTTTTGATTCTGCCTATGGGAAGCCTATGGTTTGACAAATAGGGAAGTTGAATCTTGGACCCATTCCAACTTTTCTGGTGCTGCTTCCGCTTCCCTTTTGTATTCTGCCTCATGGGGCCCTATCTCTATCCATCAGTGTTTCCCTAGTCTCACTCCTGAGACCATAGACGTGTGAATTTTTCAACCCTGAATCAGAATAAGGCCACCTTGGCTCTCTTTAAGGAGGCCTTTCATTTGTTAACAGCATGTGCCTGTCCTTGGCATCCCCAATAACTTGATATATATTCAGGATTTAAATGTCTTCATCCACAAACCAGTTTGGTTAGTTGATTAGTCTATCTGTCCTTTGTTTCACTGTGCTGGCTTTTGGTATTTCCTGGTATCAAAGCACAGTGAAAAATGTGGAAAAAACATACTCTGAAATGAATTCCTCTAAGACTTATAGTTGGGATTATTGGATGTGGGTTTGTAGCATTAAAATAGCTTTCCTCAGCCTTGGATCATCTGATGCTATTACAGGTTAATTCCAATTTTTAATAGCCAATAAGGATAATGATAATGACTATGTAGTTGTAAGCCCAATAGTATCCAAGAATCATGGTGGGAAAGGCTTGTTTTAAAACCTTTGGGTCAGTGAAACTAGATTGGATGCCCAGTCAGTTGATTTGTCCATCTATTCCTTCACCTCTTCTGCTAAACAAAACTTTCACTGTATCTCTACACCAGAAAGACAGACAAAGGGCATCCTGCAGCATAACCTGGGGCCTTCTCCCTCCCACCAAAGTCATCTCACAAATGGGTGTTGGATCTGGGAAGGTCCAGTGCCTGCAGGGTTCTGACCATCCTCTAGAAATGCTGACTTATCTTCCCATTGAACTGGCATCTGTTTATCTACTCATATATAACATGCTTTCAAATTGTCAGGTGGGCAAAAACTCACCCCATCCCACAGTTCTAGGACTTGAACCAGCATCATTAAGCCAGTGAATCACCACACTTCTGATTCAGGTGACAGAGAAGAATAGGAAAATAGACTTAAAAAAACAACAACCCCATAATTTAAAAAAAAGGCCAATATGAGCAATTTATGAAAGTGCTTAATTCTCTGTCCCTGTAACTTTTTGTCTATTTGTTAGGCAAATTTTTTCTCCTATCAACTCCAGATAATAAGTAATACACCACAAAATTGTCCTGACAATCGAGTCAACCCTCAGTTTGATTTGAGTTCATTTAATTTTAATGAAAGTTAAAATTCAACGAATGAGGTGTAGTTTATATTACCATGCAACATGTCTCTTCTGGCAGATGAAAAATGATTGCCAATCACTTTTGTAAGTGCTCAGGAGAGCATTCCCATGATTTTTTGGGTGGGGTGCAGTTTATGCATGCCTACTTTATGTGGTTGGCTGTTGGTCCACCTAGGCCATCCGCCGTTTGAAAAAGATCCCTGGGACATTTCTCCTGGCTAAATGTAGGGGAAGAATTTCTCAATGTCATATAGAAATCCTGGAGTCTGAATCTGACAGCATGTTTTTAACCAACAGAACAAAGAGCTCACAGTTGGCTAGGCATTACATCAGGCCCATCTGTCCTGCCAGCTAATGCCCCTTAATCCTCTGCGATTAAATGGTATGGCTTTCCTTTAAACATATCTTGGGGAATCTGTCTATTTCTGCGGTACATGAGGTAAGAATAACAACAGGAGTAAATGTCACATTAGCCCCCCTGACTCAGATGGAAGGAGAGACATACTCTGAACCATAAAGTAAGTTCTTGTCCAAGTAAAGATTTCACAATTTTTATGAGTCCAGAGTCTGATATGATTAAGCGGTGTGATTAAACAGGAACAATTTCCCTACTTTCACACAATTGACCCATTCAATATGAGGATGTCCGGGTCACAGTTAAAGTAAACAGGTAAAAGGCATGCTATTGAAATTAGTCTGTGGCCTACGCGGTAGCTTAATCTCTGGCAGAATTAAGCTGCCAGGATTCAGTGATAGCTTTGAAAAAGTTTGCTTTGAAGCTTAGCATTAATAGGAGGTTCCCTCCCAACCTGCCTTTAATAGTCCCTTGGATTTATTACTAAAGGTGGATCGAAGCTGAAAGGAAATATTGGATTGTAGATTCATTCTACTTATTTCTGATCATGAAGTGCAAGTCTGGGAATGTGGCATATGGCAACAAATATGAAATAGCTAATAAGGTAGAATACTGTGGGCAATGGGCGATATTATGTAACATGGCAATATAACAACAGTTTCTAGGGTGGTGCAATACGCTGGAAGGGAAATTCTGTATGGGGCTACTAGTTTATATTGTGATTGCACACTTGGTGTCCTATTGCAATCTGCTTTTAAGTAGGGTGTTTTAGCAACACATAGAATTTTTCAGATTCTTGAAATCCTCACCAAATGAAATAGGCTTGAATTGCACCCCACAAGCTGGAGCAAAAATCACTTATACTACATACTTCACCAACAATAGAACATTATGTACAAGCCCAACAGCCATAATTTCTGAATGAATCAAGGAATAATCTTATTCCAGGGTGTTGGGTCTTGAGGTCATTTATCTATTTTTATAAAGTCTCGAAATACAATTGACAAAAAATGTGGGGAACAATGGGAGAAAAATCTATTGTAGTGGCATTAGCAGATGAGAATCTCATATATTTTTTAAGGGAAAAAAAAAGCTGAGAAATGTCAGTTGAGCTCTAACTTATTCCTCAGCTCAGCTCTAATATATCAATCCAAAGTAAATACAATTTACTTTGACAGTCCGCAGTGGTTCAAGTTACAGACAGAAGTTATTTGTATGATCTTTTGTTGTTGTTGTTAGGACCTTGGATTGCAAAGCATTTCTGGTGAAATCAGTGGTTTCTGATAAGCAGGAAAATCTTCAGGCATTGTTTAAATGTAAAAAGAAATGATGGTTTTTATGCTGAGAGACCTGGCAAGGTTCTTCCATCAGATGGGACTCAGCAGTATGCTGAGGTAAATAGAGAGGTATTGATAGGACGCAAGGAGCCTGAAAGGGCTGGAATCAGCTAGAAAAAGACAACTGTATTTGACAAGTTGCAGAAATAGTGCTATAAAATGAATA